TTTATTTGCAGAAGTAGCACGACTACCTGCTCACAACACTTCAAATAGAAAAATCTGCATTGATTTTTAATGGTGCACATCTTGGTTCTTTTGTCCAGAGACTATAAATATGGCGTCTCCATGGAGAGGCTGCTGGCAAGAGACGGTGCAGCAGGATGCAAAGGGGCCTGATTCAGACAGAGGTGGGTTCAAATTCCGACTGAGATACTTCTCAACTGTGAGAAGGTAGCAAAGTTATTTAACCTCTCGGAACTACAGTTTCTTTTGCTCTTGTGAGGGTGAAGAGAGCTGCAATTGGTTGTCTTGTGCCCTTGTGTAATAATTTTTCAAATCCTGATTTATCTCCAGTTTAGGGTTGAGAAATACTCCAGCTCCAGATGGAATATAATCTTTAAAACTTGTTGTAACATCTTTTTGACTTTATCAATGATCATCGTGCAATTCCCAGAGCTCATTCAATGTTGGGAACAGCAGAAGAATATAAAGATGAAATTAAAGTCAAGATTCCCCTCCCTTTCACTGAACTGTACTAAAATAATATTACAAAGACTAAATGTTTCCCCGAAGTTACCAGTATCTGTCAAAGGAAATAACACTGAATTCTTTCTTTACTCCAAAGAAAAGCCACGGTGAGTGCTGCAAGCAACTAAAGACTTAGAAGAGGATTTAAGCAGAATCTAATTTTAGGCCAATATTAGGCTTCACATATTGCCCTGCAAGCGAGTGTATGTCAAAAGGCAGCACAGTCTTTAAAACATGAATACAAGTTAAATGTACTTATCGCAAGTTCACAGTACAAAAGGATTATCATCTTTAATCTGGATGTTTGGGATTTAATTAAAGTAGATTTTGCTGTAAGAAAAGGATAGCCGTGCATATTATAAAATGATAGGTGAATGCATTTACTCAGCCTTGCACGGTCCCTTCATTGTACAGGTTTATAGTATTCTGAAAATTCAGCTTTGGAATAATTTGGTGAATTTCTCTTCACCTGAATCTCTGTTAAAGCAGTATTGGACTCCCAATACTCTTTTCCAGGATAACGAGATCAGTATAACAACAGTGACTTATGGGTGTTGGTGGCCTTATTTTAAGCAGTTTGTCCACTTATAAAATATCAGGAGACCCATGGGCTGCAGGTATAGCAAAAGGAATGTATTTAAAGACTTACAGCAAACGGAGGCCTGACTTTAAGGCTTTGTCATCCCCTATGTGGACAGTTAAGAGGCACTCCTAAGTCTTTTAGCTACTAATTCCAAGCTACTAATGCAGCTGGGAAGTGAAGGATTCAGTTTCTGTGGTCATTTTCCATTGTCATAAAGTGTCTAGTAGTCATTTCTTTTATTCATTCACTCATTCATTCATTTCATGAATATTTATTGAAAGCCTACATGGCAGACATTATTCTAAGTACTAGAGCTATAGCAGTTCCAAACAAGGTCCCTGTTCTTATGTTGCTTAAATTCTAATGGAGAGAAATAACACATACATGCTTTCATGCATTAATAGACATAAAATAATACATAAATTCACATATAAACAAACCAGAAATATAGCTGCTAGTGGTAAGTATGATGCAGAGAAATAAAGTAGAATGACACAATTGTAAGTAAGTGAGTTTAGATAGTTATGCAAAGCTTCTCTGAGATGGTAAGATTTATGGTAAAATTTTATATTAATTGTAAAAATAGCAAAGTAGTAACCCACATGGACTCAAGACTGCCTTGTGCCATGTAGATACAGAAAAATCTTTTTTTGCAGTGGTCCAAACTCAGTGAGCAATTCTCTTGAGTTAACACAATGTCTCCAGAAGACCTTTGTTCATATAAAAATTGGTTATTTATATGCTGAAGCCATCTGTCATCACCTTAATATGAATTCAGATTAGTTATCCAGTCATCCGGTAGTATTAAAGGGATAGAATAGGTCTCAGAAGGCAATCCAGAAAGACAGAACGGGGTAGGCCATTACTAACATTGGCAGGAAAGGGGTGAAAGGGATAGGCCTGTGGACCCTGAGCTCTTGGTGCCAGGTAAAATCTCTTTTCCCATGTTGCTTACCATTAATATATCCTCTCTAACTTCCTCTGTTTCCATAGCTGCCTGTGAAAGCCCTCTCAGCCCTTCCCCAAAGCAAGCTTTTCTGAATCACACAGAATGGGTTATAAAGGGGTTAAAATCAAAAGGTTCCAGGTGCTAGCTTCTAAGCTTCAGTGCTGTGGGAGTAGGATATTAGGAAGTGGTAATGAAAGAAGGGAATACGATAGCATCCCGTGCATAGGGTTTTTGTCTGCATACTTGGTGGCTGATCTTTCAGGGGACAGCATACCAGGAATCTAGTTTTAAAACTGTGGTGTCTGAGGGAGATAAAAAGTCCCTGTCACCATGAAGACATTTGTACAGAAATACTCCCAAGAACTAGAGAATTACAGAGTTACACATACAGCCTTTAGTGTAAACGTTGGCAGCCTAGAAGGGGTCTACTCAATGAAAAGCTGCAGCGGTGGCCTGGAAGAGAGCTATTTGCAGGTTGAAATCAGCTACCAGCAGGTTTAGCAGCAGCAGAAAAAAAGAAAATACAGTGGGGGGGGCAGGAACTACAAAAAGGTAGAGAGAAAGTCCCCAGGAGGGAGACCTGCAAGTAGCAGAGATAGCAAGGTCAAAAAGATTGGCAGCAAGGGCAGAAAAACTCTTATAACAGAATAACTGCTGTAAGATTTCTGCAATATCCTAAAGAGAGAAAGACTCTAGTCCAGGGCCCACAAGCCTAGAACTCTCCCTGGCTGCTGATCGGTGCCTCAAAAAATAACTGATGGGGCCGGGCTCAGTGACTCAGTCTATAATCCCACGCTTTGGGAGCCCGAGGTGAGTGAATTGCCTGAGCCCGCGGGTTCAAGACCCGCCTGGGCAACTTGGCGAGACCTCATCTCTACAATAAATCAAAAAAATCAGCCAGGCGTGGTAGCGCGTGCCTGTATTTCCAGCTACTTGGAAGGCTGAGGCGGAAGGATCGCCGGAGCCCAGCAGGTCAAGGCTGTGGTGGCCGGGAGCAGCCAATGCACTCCAGTCTGGGCAACTGAGTGAGACTCCAACTCAAAAAAAATAAATAAATAACTGATGGAAGGATGGTCACCACCAAACTTACACCGGGGTAGCATGTTGGTAACTTGATATTTTATGTTCAATTAAATTAGTTACCAAATTCTGCTGCATTTATATATTAGGTAGAGACATGACTCATCACTTGTTTATATAGTAAAGAAGTGTGAGGAGGCATTTCCTGGAGCAGAACTATCTGAATCCAGGTGTCCCTGCAGGCTGTATGCTGATTGAACTGCTGCTTGGGCAAGGTCATGCTTTCCCACCCTCACTAACTTGTCTAGAGAAAAGCAGGTGCTATTGTTTCTGAAAGAGGTTATTAGCCATGACCTCGAAAGAGTACAAGGGTGTATTGGCTGCTCTTCACTTATATATTGCAAGGATTTGCATTTATACATATTCTGAGAGACATGAGTAGTTAAGGATAGTGGTTCTACAATTTATCTCTTTTTAAGAACTATAACTTTTTCTAAAATGTATTCTCAGAAATGTTATATCCTACATTTTAATATGCACTTGTATATTAAAATGAACTGAGTATAAGGACAAATATTGGAATTCAAATTCCATTTGCAATAAAAATGAAGCTTTATTGTGCCATAATTCTTTACTTTGAAGCACTCTTCTCTGCATGCCAGGACGCTACACTTTTCTGGTATACTGCCAACTTCACTGGTCACTCCTCTTTGGGCTCTTTCATCTCCCTTAACTTTTAACGTTTAACCAGAGTAGTCTTCTTATCTGTGTCTACATGTACTCTTTGTCATCTCATCCACTGGTTTTAAATGCTGTCTATACGCTGTTTACTTACAATTTTACTTCTCTAGTCCAAACATCTCGCCTAAACTCCAGATTTATAAATTCATCTGCTTACTTGGCGTCCAGTTAGACATCTACTACTCCCAAATCCTCACCTAAATTTTCTTTATCACAAATATGATAACCTCATCCTTCCAGAAGTTCAGGCCATAAACTTGGGAGCCATTTTTAACTCTTGTCTTTTTCACAAAATTCACGTCAAATTGTCTGCGAATGTTGTTGGGATTTGTCTTCAAAATGTTTCCAGAATCTGACTACTTCTACTACCTGTGCTATCACCCTTTCCGTCATCTCTCACTAGACTTTTGCCCTCTTGTGCCTCTGCCTGCTTCTGCCCTTGACCCTATTTGATTCTTCCCTACTCAGCAGGCACAGCGATTCCGATAAAACACAGGTCAGATCCAGTCACAAATCCCACTTCAAATTCCTCAATTTCCATTCAAAGCCCAATGGCTTCCTGTTTCACTTAAAGTGAAAGTCACAGTTTTCACAGTGACCCACACAGTCAGTGCCTCCTCCTCCCTTCTCCTACCATTCTCAACTATGGTCACACCCCTCCAGCCCCACACTGGTTTCTTCCCTGATCCTCCAACATGCCTGTATGTTCCTGCCTGTGGCCTTAGGCTCTCATTTATCAGAATCTCTTCCCTCAGATATCCACATGGCACATTCTCCTCTTACCTTTCCCTGACCACGCTATTTAAAATTATGACTGATGGGCTATTTTAGGAATATTTGGTTTGCAGTTTGTCTCAATAAATTCAATTGTAATAAAAAAAAATAACAGCCACTACCAGGATGAAGAAAACAACTTGCTGTCAAGTCATGGCTACATCATCAGCTAGTTGAAGACCTTGGGCAACTTGTTGTTGACCCCTGAGACTTGTCTTCCTCATTTGCATAATGAGAATAATGTCCTGCCCACTCATAAGACATTGTAAGATAATGCATATTACAAACAACTACAAGAGGTAAGTTCAACCCAAAGTAGGATACAGCTGAGCCCCTTTTTATTCTCTTGGAGAGTAAAAATAGCTTCTTGAAAGAGGAGAATTTGACCCTATGCATTCATGAAAATCTTACCTTTTAGACCACAAAACTCACACATGGCCATAAACACTGTAGACTCCATTTCAATGTTCCTTATGCCAGCTTTATATCTTCTCTTCAAATAATCTTATTTTTTTCTCTGGAAAAGTGCATAGTGCTTCACCTAATCAACCCTGGCCTGAAAGAGAATAGAAAATATTTAGCGACTTGATGTCCTACCCCAATGGCAGTGGCATCACCAAGAGGTTTGCTGAATTACTCTTGGTGGCTGAATTGCTCTGCACTGTCTCTAACTTTTGATCCTGCTCCCCAAGTAGGTCAAACTGGGCTGTTTGAATCTTCCTATCAGAGAACAGTGAAGCAGGGCTGTGCCTGGCTCAGGAGTCTTAAATGTACGAAGGAGCACGGGGGTGAAGACCAGTTGGAGGCCGAAAGTTCACCTGCAAATAGATTACTTACGTACCTAATCCTGACTTGCACCCCACATCTTTAAAATAAAATAAAGTATTTTTAAAAAGGAAAGCATGTCCATGGCTGAGTACCTTAGTCCTGAGGCCAATAGTTGCTGAGTGACTGTAGCAGTCAGTACTGTGCCCAGGGACATCAGGGATGCCAGGATAGGGGTGTCACTGAGAGGGTGGAGCTTTGAGGAATATCTCCTGTTGAGAAGAGGCTCCAAAGCTCATGAGAGTCAGGATGGTGTTTGGACATTGCTGCTCTCCATGTGTCTTTTTGACCATGGCAGCCATGTGCAGATGGGGACTGTCCATATTTCCCTTTTCCACACACCTCCCAGGCTGCATGCCACACCTTTGTGGTCATGGTTTTCCCTTCCAGCCCGTCCCCAGTGTTTATCACTTAATTTCACCTGTATCAACTAGTGAGGACAGAAAGTGGGAGAAAAAAGCTTCATGTCATTATGCCTCATCTACCTTGTGCACACCCAGAAACAGACCTCTTCTCCCTCGCCCCCACCCCTCCGGAGGAGGCCCAGATTGAAGCAGGTAGACTAATAACACTCTGCCACCATCCATTATTTGCACAAGCCTCTTTTTGGCTCCTTTCCCTCTCTTTTTCTCCTTTTCTTCTCTCTCATTCACGCACTTTCAACCTGCCAGTTGGCTTCTCCTTGTTCCTTCTCTTCTCTTTAGAGCTGCCTGCCAACACCTCTAACAGAGTGTTACTTAGACTGATTCAGATGCAGACATGCCAGAATCCAAGCAGGTAATGTCAACGAGAGGGTCTGCCTGGTCTGAAGGAAGCAACCTCACCTCACCTTCAGCAAATATAGCCCCGGATGTGGGCCAGGGCTGCCATGCATATATTGTTTTATGTTACGTTCTGTAATTTCAAAAAGCCAGAAATCTGATTTTCATAGGAACTATTCAGAAATTATAAACCTTGGCAAAATACTTAACATTTAAAAAAACGCTATCCAGGCCAAAGACAACATTGACTCCAACAAGCGCCATTTGCAAATTACCACATCATTGATAAGTGACCCTCTGAATGAAGGGCCTGTGAGCTAGTGACCTAGAACAGAGGGTCCCAACCCTATCAGTCCCAACACCCCTCCCATTTTATAGTACATATGTACCATACCTTTACTATCCTGCATAAAATATATAGATAATATCACTATCTCCATATGTTTTTTTAATTCAATATTATGCTTTAAGTTTGATCCAAAGACAAAAGTAATGTATAACAAAATAATATTAATTTTGAAATGAACATAATTACACCACAAGATTTCCAGAATGTTCTTCAAGGTATGGCGCCAACCCTGTGTGGATCCTTTCTTCTGGAATGAGTGGGGTCTGTCCCTGAAGACATTTGTCTCCTGCTCCTTACCTGTTGTAGCAAGAGCTGCTACTTAGCAGTCACTAAGTTTTTCTCTAAACTTAGTTTGGGGACACTTTACTCATGACTGAGAGATAAAAACACCCCTCTGAGATTTCCCCACTCTAGTGGGATTTGTTCCCTGAAATATTTCTCCCCATTTCCCAGCCCCTTCTCTTTCCTAGTGACAGGATCCCTTTGGATGTACAGATGAAACATACAACCAGCAAATTTCCCATCTCTTAGAGCCACCAATATGAGATAAAGGCATAAACAGAGATAAGATTTTGCGAACATCACTAATTGCGATTTTAATGTTCAGCTTTTTCTTAGAGGATTAAACCCACTGTCAATATAAATTCATTCTGAGAGTTTCTCTGCTACTTATTATATCCTTATGTCTCTATGCTTTAGTAAGTTAAAAAGCCTGTTTCGGTTCATTTTTAATCCCCAACTATTGATTTTCTAAAGTGGAGTTTTTAATGTAAGTTGTGGGTTTGAATAACAAAGAGTCGCTGGTATTTTTCTGTTTCCTTCACAGCTTCTAAATTATTCTCACCTTCATAAAAATCATAGGGACACACTATAAGTCTGATGAGGGCTGGGAAGTTGGGAATTTCTTTGCCACAGTTCAATAGCTCTTCAGCCAGTGTTAAGTTCAGTACTTCAGGTGACGATGCTGTTCAAGATGACCTGTTCAATCCGGTTCTTAAAGGAGTCTAACAACATTATAACAACAGTCCCTGGTGCAATCCCTGCATTGTAGGAACAAGTGATTACAGAAGACTATCATTTGGAGTTTACTTTTGACATATAGTATGTAACTTATTCTGCCAATGTTAAATAATGCTAGTTACTAATGATTCCATTTTCATCTTTAGAATTATTTTCATTTCCAAATGCAATGAAATAACACTCAGAACAGGCATTTACATTTGTTGTCTTTCCAGATTCACATTTACAACGTGATGGGGTTTAGATTTCAAGACAAATGTGACTCTTGGACATGTAAATTAGTGCCAGCCTTCAGGCTGAAATTTGAATAAATTAGGTCAGAAATAAACTAAATAAGCCTGCTAGCAAGTTACTTTCATAAAGTGATGTGACTTCTTAATATTTCATCTATTCAGTAACTCCTTGATTATTATAATTTCTTTGCATCTCTATCATCTTTTTTCTCTATTCTCAGCACATTCGTTCCCTCCCCTCCCTGACTCTGTGTAAATTGGGCCTCTTGGCTGACCTTCCATTGCCACAGAGTCTGGCTCACTCAAGGGACTTGGGCTTATTCAAGAAACCATCTTCTGCCAACTGTTACTCTTCCTGCCTGGAATGCCTTGTCATCCTCCCCTGCACCTTTTCATATGACTAACACCAACTCATTCTTCAGGTGTCAGCTTAAGTCACTTCCTGCAAAAGGTTTGAATCCATGGAGGGGAAACAAACAAATGAAAAAACTTACAAGTCAGCACAGATAGGTCACATTACATTTCCCCAGGCCCAGCTTTGCTCCAGTTTTTGAACTGGTCTGGTTTCTATTTAGAGCCTGACCGAGAAAATATATCTCAGTAGTGTTCTAGACTCTGTCATTCACCACACTTTTTTATAATTACCCATTTGTTTATATTTTTCTCTGATAAAACACAAGCTCAGTAAAGGCAAGAACAACTTCTATTTACTGTTCTTTCCTAGTCTAGCACTGTGCCTGCCACATTATAGATGCTCAGTAAAAGTTTATTGAATGAGTAAATGCTTCCATAGAGATACAATGTAACAGATCTGCAAACTATAACCCACAAACTAAATCATACCTGTTTTTGTAAATAAAGTTTTATTGGAACACAACCACACACATTCATTTATATACCATCTGAGTTGCTTCCAAGCTATGGTGGCAGAGTGGAGAAGTTGCAACAGAAACCACATGGTCTGCAAACCTTAGAATATTTACTATGAGGCTCTTTACAGGAAGAGTTTGCCAGTCCCTGCTACGGAGCATAGCCTTATCCTTGGGGTGACGTACATTTCAATATTGATCAAAATAGAGTTCATTACAAAGCACTTTAGAAGATTCAAAGCACTTTAGAAGATAGAGACCCAAGGTGGGCTTTTCATAATAGAGCCTTGAAGGGTCAGATACTTTTTAAATGAGTCAAACAAGTGACTCCTTGAATTGTTCACAATGTTCTAAGAATAGGAAAGTGGTTGAGAGGAAAATTGAAAATGTGTGCATCACATGCCATCCTAATACTTGATGTGTTAGAACATTTGTATCATGATTAAAGTCCCCCAAAGTCAAAATACTATTTAACTGAGTACTTTATCCTTATCAAAGTGTATTGGCTCATATTAAGGAGTAATAATATTAGCAAAGTAATAAGCTGTACCTCTTTCATCTCCAAATTGAATGTTGTTTAAAACAAAACAAGCAAATCTATCTTGTTGATAAACTAAGAGTTCTTAATGAGGACAAAACTTCAAAATGAAAGTGTCTACAAAGTCTGACGATTAAGTTCATGAACTCATCCTAGGAAATGTGCTACATACCTCATTATTGAATATCACTATGGTCACCTTTGAAGTTCTCCCTTGGGAAGCTATGCATTGACGCCAACACCTAGTTCATCTGTCAAAGCAATTTTGGAACTCTTTTTCTGGAATGGTCAACAGAGCTATTGTCATATTATCCTTGATGTCCTGAATGTCATCAAAATGTCTTCCTTTCAATATTTCCTTTGTCTTCAGGTAAAGAAAAGAGTCATTGGGTGCCAGATCAGGTGAGTAGGAAGGATGTTCCAATACAGTTATTTGTTTACTGGCTAAAAACTCCCTCACAGACAGTGCTTTGTAAGCTGGTGCGTTGTGATGTAAGAGCTCCTTTGGGACCATTTTTGCACACACCTTTCCCATGCCAAGAATTTCAATTAAGATTTTTCTGACTGTTTCTCTGTCAATGTTTATTTGGTCTGCTATGTTTCTCACAATCAGCTGACAATTTTGACGAACAATTTGACAAATTTTTGCAATGTTTTTGTTAGTTCTGCTTGTTACTGGCCATCCTGACCTCTCTTCACCAGTGACGCTTTCTCTCTCCTCAGAAAAATGTTTGATCCATTTGTACACTGATGTTTTCTTCATGACATTATCCTATAAACTTGGACTAACATATCCCTGACTTCACTTCCACACATGCCAAGCTTAACAAGAAATTTGTTGTTCTGATTCAAGCTCTGACATTCTCGTGATGGCACACAAAAACATGCAACAACAATAACAAATGCCACTAAGCAGGACACCACCACATGTTGATACAAACACTGTTGTGAGACACTGATATACCAAGGTTATGAAACCTTACTGAGTTGTTTGTACAGTGCTGCCAACATAAGTGCACAGTGGCAAGTTTGCGAACTTAATTGTCAGATCTCATACACTAGCAAAGTGGTTTAATTTGCTACCATTCATTAGCCTCCATTGTGATATTTGGGCTATGTGCTCTATGTATTATGATGACATGAAACAAAAGACTGTGACTATAAACTGGGTGGTCAACAGAGTGCCTTGGCTATGCTGGCCACTCATTAATATCAAGTGGCAATCACAGCAGTCAGGACCTTGCAATGCATGGGTATGGGCTATGGAGGAAGATTCTTGTATTCTACTACCCAACAACAATTATGAGCAAACTTAATAAAAATGTTATCTATTTCATCTCCAGATTTATTGTTCCCAACTATCAATTATTTGGGGGTATTTGCGGATAAACTACAGTCTAGAAGGATGTTTGATCTAACACCAATTGCTAACATTCTCCTCCTTTCTCTGGATGGACATTATCAAATGTCCTTCTTTGTCCCCCGTGTGAGGGCCTTGGCTGGACTTTACCCATGGACCAAAGCTATGGAAAGGCCATCATCTTTTTGAATATGCAATTCAGTGAAGCATGGCTCAGCCATCTGTGGCTCTGTAATATTGAACATGCCACTTCTCTAGTTCTTTGAGGACTTCTGAGGTTCCTTCTTGCTCCAAAGATATGTAATTCTAAGTCTGCTTTTCTTTCAGAATCTCAGCTCTTTTTGTAATGCTTATTCAATTCAGTCATTCTGTCAACCAAACTTTTTCACTTATAGTCCCCAGTCTGTACTTGCATTTGATGGCATGGTAAAATCATATGTTGACAAGACCTGCTGCTTAAGAAAAGAATGAAGAAGGGGAGATTTCTTTAAAACTTTACCTCAGCACATTCTGGAAGCCAAAACAACCCCCTCTTTATAACTGCCTGACCAGCCCAAAAAGAAAGGAGGTGAAGGAGGTTCTGGGAAAACCTTAAGAAGCACCACTTGACTCTTCCCTAATCGCCTGGCCTGATATCTTTCTGTTGCACTAATGAGGAAAGGATCCAGTCAAGAAAATGGATGTAGTAACTGATGTGAGCTAAAAGCAATGTTTTTTTATTTTTTATTTATTTATTTATTTTTTTTTTTTTGAGTTGGAGTCTCACTCTGTCGCCCAGACTGCAGTGCAGTGGCCG